TGGTTATTTCCATTCCAGGGATATTTTGGTTATTTTATAGATTCAGGGTATTTAAAACCTTTCATTCCGTCCGACCTTATTATTTAATTTAAACTTATCATTTATGCCAATCCTTTCGAACAATTCTTATAAAGAAGCACCCTCAATAATTTATTCTTCAAGTATATACTCTTAACTCAGAGATTTTCGGGTCAACTGCCTTCTCAGATGTTACAAACAGGTTGTCAGGAATTTTCTGTACAAAGACAGGATTTTAACAATTAAATATGTAATTTATCGGGTTAGGTGCTAATTCTCAGGGTACTTTCTCACTCAGAGACAACTCGGACTACTTAACTTCTTGAGTACTTTTTTATTCAGGGTCAATTCGACTACTTTTATCTATCAAGGGTAATTTCGTAACCATATAATTTTGGTATTAAAACTTTTAACAATGATAATTATAATTTAGAGATTATAGGGTTAATCGCTTTCCCGGATAATCTCTAAACTTTAAATTATTCCTTAACAAAACTTCTAGTATATTGTACAAGCCATATTGGATTTAGAAATCGGTTATCCAGATTTCCTAAGCAAAACCAGTATTTTCTGTACACATCAGTAGTTTCATCATATCAATATGTCTTTAAAAATTCTTATCCAACTTCTAGGGTCAATTCTTGTCCTTATTACAATATAAGGGTATTTTTGTAATTTTACCTAATCGAAGTATTCTCATAATTTATCATCCAAGTAGCTTTAATGAGAGAAATTATAATTTACATATTCAAGACTGATTCCTTTATCACTTAATCACAGGACTTGTAATTCAATAGAATCTTAACTAATTTATCACTTAAACTGTATTCTGTTCGAATCCATCCATAATCCAACATGCATAATAGACCAATCATATATATTCATGCATTTATCCATTATCAACATGTTCCATAAAGCATAAAGAGGTAGTAATGTATTACATCAATTTTTATATCATACTTATCGACCATTTAAACTCCACTCGAACGTCCTCGATCTTGAAATCAACTTCCAATAATTCCTTGGATACATATCAACAGAAAGTTCATTAAAAACAGAGCTTAATTGCAAAAAACGGATCGAATTAGGTGATTAATCAGTCAAAAATAGTTTACCGGGTTCGAATTTGATGAAACGGACTTCAAATTCGGATTCAGAACGTCGAAAAATATAAAATATGACTTTTCAAAAATTTTGCCTTTTTGGTCAAAGTCAACGGGATTGACTACCAATTTCGAGGTTTTGGGTTTGAATTTAGAAAAATGGACTTCAGAATCAAACTCAGGACGTCAATAATCATAAAATATGACTTTTAAAAAATTTTGACTTTTTTTGTTAAAGTTAACGGTCAACGGTCAACGGGTCAGGTCGGGTCAATGGGTCAGGTCGGGTCGGGTCAATGGGTCAGGTCGGGTCAACGGTCGGGTCGGATTGGGTCAGGTCAAACCGGGTCAACTGCCCCAACTGTTTTCGAACCTCCCCCACTCGTAGGGGCGGCGCGTGGACAGTGCTATGGTGTTCGAAAAATTCTAAAAATATTTTATGGCATTTTTAAGACACTTACCAAGCTTGGTTCAAAAAAATTAAATGATGGAGAGCTCGATTCTGAAACGTCAGAAACTTTGACTTTCTCACCCCTCCACGTACCGGCGACAACGGAGACGCGACGGACATCGGTTGACTCGGAACAACACCAAGGAACACAATGATGCGGGAGGTGTTGAAAATGGGTGGACGGATCGACGTGCATCGACGGAAAACCAACGAAGATTGAGTTAAAACCGATGATACTTCTGATTGAAATTCACGACGAACGACGCTGATTCACAACAAGTGCTTTGAAGGGTTTTGTTCTTCGGTCGACAACGAACGCGATGGTGGTTTCAGATTGTCGAACGGTGGTTGGACGGTGAATAGACCATAGCTAAAGTAGTTGATCGGTAAGGTAAATGAGGAAAAAATCTGCAGAAACATACTGGGGAGAGGTTTATAATTCTCTCCAAAAGAAAAATAGGTAAATTATGAGTTTAGTCATTGAATTTCTTGCACTTTATAAAATGGTATGCTAACTTTGCGATTTTACACTTTAATCCCCAATTTCTTCCAAAATACCACTTTAAATTTAATACTTTATAATTTCTAAAAATTTAGCCCCTAAATTTGGGTGTTACAATCAGACAAAAATCCCATGCAAATAGAAAGTAAACAAAAAGGTGGGGGTTTGCCTTTAAAGCATATACAATTAAGGCTATAGACGAGCCTAGTCAAACTCGAGTATTGCTAAGCTCGAGTATTGTTAAGCTCGACTCGACTCGAAATCTATGAAATGAAGCTCGACTCGACTCAACTCAAAACTAGCCAGCCTAAAATTTTCAAGGTCGACCCGAACTTGAAATCATTAACTAAAGCTCGTAAAAGCTCGAAAAGGCTCGAAAAGAAAAAAGAATTTTAAACTTAACTCAATTAAAGCGTCAAACTCAAACTTGAATTTCAAATACATGAAACCTTTATATTGCATTTAAAAAAAATAACACATAAATGTTAATATTATTAATAATTTATTTTTTAAAATAAAATCTTAATATATTATATTTTCGAGCTGCTATTGAGCTTTTCAAGTAGAGTATCAAGTAGCTCATTTTGGCTCGTTAAGAACCCGATTTGATCTCGAGCTCGAGTCAAGTCTATTCGAGTCGAGTATTTATTGATCTCGAGTAGCTTGCGATCTGCCTCGTCTCATTTACAATTCTATATACGATGTAAGAGAGGAAAATGACAAAGAAGCATCATTAAAACACATGTGAAATATAAAAAGGGTAAAATACATCATTCCTCACTGAACCTTACTCTCTCTCCTATTTTACTCATTATTTCAATTTTTCTAATTTACTTACTGAACTTTTGAATTACTCATATTTTGATCTCTCTAAATAATTTTATTATTATTTTCGTATGATGTGATATTTTTTATGATTATTTAATATAAAAACAATTTAAAATATAAAATAAAAATATAGGGTGGTCGGACGCCACCATAGGACGTCGTAGATAGTGCCCATTGGGTCCCAAATTTCATGGGTCAGTTCGTCTCGACCCCCTGAGTTTGAATCTGATGGTTGTTTCACCGAAAATATCCCAAAACCCGTGAATCTCAACTAAAACATTTCGGCTTCCTCACTTTTGATCTCAAATTCATGGACTTTGGAGCAAGTTAGATAAAATAAAGGTCGAATGAGTCGTCGAGATCAAGTGACCCATTAAATTTGGGATGGAATGACCACCATCTACGACAATCGACGATGGTTGGCGGTGACATCTGACCGTATTCTGTTTTTATTTTATATTTTCATTATTTTTATATTAAATAATAATAAAAAATACCATATCATATAAAAATAATAATAAAGTAATTCACATTGATCAAAACATGAGCAATTTGAAAGTTCAGTGAGTAAATTAGAAAAAATGAAAGTATAGTGAGTAAAATAGGAGAGAGGGTAAAGTTGAATAGGGAATGATGTCATTTTCCATATAAAAACATAAAAATAATTCCACAGCCCTATCGTTAACTTTCAAATGGTGAGGTACTAAAATAAAATAAAAAGTAAATCTTAGGTATGATTGTGAAAAAATTAAAAGTTTAAGTAATAAAATAGAACAAAATTGATAATTTAGATACTAAATATTTAGTTTACCCTAATTTATATATAGTAGTGAAAATTCATTGATCTACAGCGGATTGAAAAATGGTCTGCAATCTTTATATTTCTTACATTTTTGTTAGGGTAAATTACGTAGTTAGAATCTTAAATTTACTCTCTATCTTATTTTATTTATTGTAGTTTTATTAATTTTAATTTTATTACAAAACTTTATATGTTGATTTTTTTATCACTCTTTGATTAAATTACTAACAAAATGATGACATGACATTTTAAATTAAAATTTTCTCATTTGTTTGACTTTTCAACTTTCTTATTTTCACATAATTTTTACTTATTTTTTAATATTTCTTCTTGGCTCTGCTAGACACTGAAGCTATGAAAAGTAAAAATTGGAATCTGATTTAAAGAAACTCGGTTTTTATAGGAGATGAATTTAAGGGAAAAAGAAGGTTTGATGGTGAGAGATCTATGGCTCCAGTGATTGCTGTTTGGAGGGGGTTTCATCATTATGGTTTTATTATTCTTTTTATTAATTAGCATCCTCAAAAAAATATAAAACAAAGAGATGACAAAAACTACCATTTTCCAGCACTCAACTCAAAGAAGATGATTGATAAGACCAGCTTGCAGAATGATCTCTACATTCTCTCTTCCTCTCAAAACCAAGATCTCCAAATCTTTCACCGCTTTAGGAAAAGTTGATATTGTTATGTTATGGTACTTTTGTTTAGGCCATCCTAGTTTCTGACAAAAACCATGAATTTTACTGTAATTCACTCTTATTAAACATATAGGAAACTTACAATTATATATACAAACCTAAGCCTTATCTTATGTAACTTCTAAACTAGGTAAGAGACTAATTCTAGTAATAAAAAATCCCTTAGATTTAGGGATACTAACTAGATAGAATATTTACAAATCCAACTCAATCTTCTTAACTGAGGTAACTAATCTTGGACACTCCCCCTCAAGCTGGGAGCATGGATATATTCCATCCTCAGCTTGCCTGTTAACTTCTAAAAATACTTAACAGGTAGACCCTTGTTAAGTATATCTGCAACTTAATCTCCAGTGGTCACATAGGGAGTACAGATCAGGCCACAGTCAAGTTTCTCTTTTATGAAATGTCTATCCACTTCAACATTTTTGTTCTATCATGTTGAACTGGATTATGAGCAATGTTGATTGTTGACTTGTTATTACAGTAGAGTTTCATTGGTCCATTCCACTTCATCTTCAAGTCTTCTAAAATAATCTTCAACCATAATAACTCACAAATTCCCAATGCCATAGCTCGAAATTCAGCTTCTACACTTATCTAGCCACCACATTCTGTTTTTTGCTTCTCCAAATAACTAAGTTTCCTCCAAAGAAAGTGAAATAGCCTGAGGTTGACCTTCTATCAATTATGGATCCTACATAATCTGCATTTGTATATCTTTCCAGAGTCAAGTTCCCATCTCTTCTAAATAGAATTCCTTTGCCTGGTGTACCCTTCAAGTACTGCAAAATTTGGACAACAACTCTTAGGTGTGATTCATTGGGATTGTGCATGAATTGGCTCACAACCCCAACAACATATGCTACGTCTGGTCTGATGTGTGACAAATAGATAAGCTTTCCCATCAGTCTCTGAAAAACACTTCTGTCAACTGCCATATCATCATCCTTTGAGTCTTCAAGCTTATTCTTGACTTCTATAGGAGTTTCTATCGGTTTACTTCCTAATTTTCCAGTGTATACTTCTGTTGAGATATAAAAATCCCTTGTTGTGAGAGTGCTACCTTAATACTTATGAAGTATTTTAATCTTCCAAGGTCTTTTACTTCAAAATCATTTATAAGACATTTCTTTAAATTAAAAATTCCTTCAGAATCATTACTTGTAACAATTATATCATCTACATACACCAATAGTGCAGTTATTCCCCCAGAAGGAGAGTATTTCACAAACAGAGTATGATCACCTTAACTCTGTTTGAAGCCTTGTTTTAGCATTACTTTAGTAAATCTCCCAAACCAAGCTCTTGGGGACTGTTTTAGTCCATAAAGAGCTTTTCTCAATTTACACACTGCCTGTCCAGTATTTGAATCAAATCCAGGTGGAATATCCATGTAAACTTCTTCTTCAAGGTCCCCATACAAAAAGGCATTCTTGATGTCAAACTGCTGCAAATTTCATCTTTAAATAGTTGCTAAGGATAATAAAACCTCACTGTGTTCATTTTTTCAAAAGGGGCAAAAGTTTCAAGATAGTCAATTTCATAGGTTTGAGAGTACCCATTTGCCACAATCTTGCTTTGTACCTTTCTAGAGAACCATTTGATTTATACTTAACAATCAATACCCATATGCATCTTACTTTTTTCCCTTTATGGCAGCTTCACTAAATCACATGTCTTATTCTTCTCTAATGACTCCATTTCATCTTTCATAGCCTTTTTTTCAGTTCTCATTTTCTAATGCCTTAGATATTGTTTTAGGAATAACAATGTCTTTTAGGCTAGTAATGAAGGTTCTGTAATTGGTGGATATGTTTTTGTAGGTTAAAAACATATAGGTAGGATGTTTGGTGGTGCATGTTCTTTCTTACTTTTCTAATAGCAATGAGAAATTCAAAATCAGAAGTAAATATAAACTTTTTAGCATCACTTTGTTCAAAAGGAGTTTCAGAGTGTACCTCAAATTGTATAGGAGCAGGAGTAGGAGAAGAGGATGATTGAATCTACATAGGTGCCTTCTTCCTCGAATAGACCCTTAGGGGACAAGTAGTGTCCTGAATATTGGGCTGTGATGTATTAATCTTTGGTTGAAGAGTTCTAGGTTCTGATTGGGGAGAGGATGAAGTAGAAGCATGTTGTGTTTCTATCTGTAATTCTGTAGAATATATAGGTATAGGTGTAAGTGTAGGAAAATCAACAAGGGGCTGAAGTAAAAACAAATCTGCATCCTTATCTTCCCTAAATGATATCTCCCCCTAAAGATAAAGAATTGTAAAATAACTATCTTTCTCCACAAAAGTGACATCAGCAGAAGTGTAGTATTTTCTTGTAGGAGGGTGTAGCACTTGTAGCCTTTTTGAGTGGAAGAATACCCAATAAAAATACATTTTAATACCCTTGGATCAAGCTTCCCTCAGCCTTGAGAATGAATGTGAACAAAAGCAACACACCCAAATACCTTTGGTTTTAGGTTAAGAGATGGACTGAAATTTGGAAAGAACTTTGTAAGGGTTTGAAGGAGACTTTGGGATTCAAGAACTTTAGTGGGTAGATTGTTTATCATGTAAGTGACAGTTAACATAACTTCTGTAACATCCCAAAAGACATGTTAGTGACCAAAATAAAAGTTTTTAAAACTTCACAATCAATTTCAGAAAAGATTAAAAGTTCAGGGACTTAATTAGAAAATTTTAGTGTTAGAGTTAATAGAAAAGTTTGAAAGTATAAAGGGTATAATGGTTATTTTATAGGAAAGATTTTTATTTTTTTCCTTTGTAAATTATTTAACACATGGAAAAGGAAGGAAAGGAAAGAAAAGTCTGGAGAGTTGGGTTTGGGTTCAGACTGCTTCTTCTTCTTCTTCCCGTGAGCTCATTTAAAAGGTGAGTTTCTTACAAGTTGATTATTCCTTTATTTTATAATAGGTTTTGATTCTTGGGATAATAAGAAAGCTTAAGGAAGTTTAAAGATAAGTAAAAACTCAAAGATGAACAAGTTATGAGAAATTAAGTAAAGGGAGTTTTTAAGTGAATTATTGAAAAAGTAGAAGATGGATTTGGAAGTTAAATTTGACATGTCATAAGTTGAAATAAGAAATTCAAAGTGTTAGAAATGAATTGGGAACATGCTGATTTATTGGCTTGATTATTGAATTCAAGTATGTATTTGGGATATTGGATATTAAGATGAGTTAAAGTGATCTAAGTTGATTAGAATAAGTGTAGTTAAGCTTAAAGAACTAAAAGGAGGTTCTAGTATAAGATATAAGTAAGTTTGGTAAATTTTCGGGTATGATAAATGAATTTTGGGTAAGGAGTATCGGTAATATTCATCAAGTACCGATACTTCAAAGAGGAAATGAGTGTTAATTGAAGCATGGGTATCGATATTGGTTGAATAAGTATTGTCGTAACCGGTTTTCGTCCGGGCACGAATTTTTTACTTGGCGGGAAAAGTGATGTGAATAAATGGTTTTTTTTAATAATTTGGGAGTCGCCATCGACCTTTTAGGTCAGGTAGGTCGAATACCTAAAAATTATCTTTTAAAAGAGTTTTTAAGAAAACATCATTTAAAAGATGAACTGATCTGCGTTTATAACCAAAAATTCGTTCTTTTTATTAATAAAAAGGGATTCGTGGTCGGTTACGTTTAGGGAAGGATTAGCACCCCTACAACGCCCAAAATTGGTACTTTTTAATTATAAATTGTCTCTCATAATAGAATTTTAAGAATTCAAATATATTTAATTTATAATTATGTTATTTCAAATTTTATTACTATAATTTTTAAGAAAATATATTAATTTAAATATATTTATAAAAATATTTATTTATTTAGAAATATCAGAAAAGTACTTCTAGGTTCCTTAAGACAACTCTTTTCTTTGATATTAATAAATAAATAATTAAAACAATTATAATTTATAAAATAGGATATTTAGTAAAAATATCAGAAAACAGACTTCTAGGTGCTTTAAGACAGTCCTTTTCTTAATATTGAAAAAATAAATATATATTAAAATATGATTATTAAAAGTAATTTATGAAATATAGGATTTTAACAAATAAACAAATATTATTTATTATATATATATATATATTTATTTATTTATTTATTTATATAAATAATAAAAATAATAATAATGAAATAATAATTAAAAAATAATATTGCAAATAATATTGCAAATAATGATTAAAATAAAAGGAAATAAAAATATAGTATTAAAATGTAAAATATTAAAAATCATAGTCAAAAATAAAAATTAATGATTAAAATGTAAAATTATAAAACTAGAGTCCTAATTCGAAATATTATAAAACTTGAGTGCTAACAGTGTGATTTAACCTATATTAATTATTAGGGATTGAAATATTAAATATAAAAATATGAGGGACTAAATATGATATTTATCCTAAATATATAAATACTGGTATGGATTAAAACATAATAAAATAAAGTTCGAAGACTAAATTAAAATGATCAAGAATTGCTTTTTAGTGACTAAATTGTAAGGATTACAAACTATAGTGACTGAGGACATGGTTTACCCCTGATGAAAATTACACGCACACTCCTCCCCAAAATGACGTCGTTTGGGGAAGGATTTAAATACCCCAAATGGCCGGCCCTTCGGGCCATTTATTTCATTTCCTCTCTTTTCATTCTCTCTCTAACTGAGAGAGAATGAAAAATGCTCTGTCATCTCTCTTCAACTCCCTCATCTGAGGGAAAAGAATTTCGGCCGTCCGCCTTACTCCGGCGCCGGTAGCCACTGCCAGCCACCGTTTAAGGTGGCCGGAATTTGGAAAATTATCCCAAATCGTAGATCTCTATATCTTAAGGTCAAATATGACCTCTATTTATCCTAAAAACCCTTAGAATTTCCTAGATCTAGGATTTTACCTTCGAAATCCGAAGGTTTCCGACGATGTTTCAAATGCCTCCGATGACAAAGTAAGCTCTCTTTTCTCTTCTCTTTTTTTTATTGGTTTACTGTTGATTGGGATCGTTGGTAGCTTTCTGTCTTCCTTTGTTTTTCTTCTTTCGTCTTTGTTCTCTGTTGCTGTCTCCTTGCTCTCCGTGGCTGTGTGTCCTCTTTATTTTGCAGGTAACGGTGGCTTTTATAGCCACCACGGCGTTCTGTTTGGACCGATCCTGAGAGGGAAACCTCGGTGAGTCACCAAAGCTAGGCTGGTGACTCACCGTAGGGAAGGCTGTTGGTTGCCATCTGGCATTCTCGAGCGACGGCGTGGCAGCAAGGCGTCGGCAGGAGTTGGTTGGACCATCTGGCTTGGGAAGTGTCGGTAGAGGCGGCTGTTGGGAGTTCTTGGAGACATGAGGCGGCGCCGCGCGGCAGTAGTGCTAGGGTTTTGAAACCCTAGCTGAAACCCTAAATATTTAGGGTTTCATTTTGGTTTGGGCCGGTTCTGGTTGGGCCTGGGATTTGGGCTTGTAAACGGGATTGGGCCTCTGATGTAATTTGTAATATATATATATATTTAATAATAAATAATAATAATAATATATTATATTAATAATAATTATAATTATTATTATGAAAAAAATTAATGTCTACAGCTGTCCCTCTTTGCTCATTCTTGTGTTAACAAGAATAGAGTAAAGACGAAAAAGACAATAATTTTTTTGGCCTCTATTGAGTAGGATGAAAATGTTTGAAAACATCATGCACTGAAGGGCTTATAGATAACCCAAAGGTTTTTTTGAAAACATCAAAAAGCTCCCGAAGGCTTTTTGGAAACATCATGCACTGTAGGACTTACAGATGACCCTAAGGTTTTGAAAACATCAAAAAGCTCCCGAAGGCTTTTTGGAAACATCATGCACTGTTGGACTTACAGATGACCCGAAGGCTTGAAAACATCAAAAAGCTCCCGAAGGCTTTTTGGAAACATCATGCACTGTAGGACTTACAGATGACCCTAAGGCTTTGAAAATATCAAAAAGCTCCCGAAGGCTTTTTGGAAACATCATGCACTGCAGGACTTACAGATGACCCTAAGGCT